AAAAAGGATGGAGGTGTCTCACCTATCACAGGGTCTCTTACAGACTTAGGAGTGAGGGAAAGCCTCCCATCCCTGGCTTTCTTTAGCTCCCCACTGCTGCATTCTTTCACCATTGTGTTGTTTGGAAAACAGTGAAAAGCAATAGGGCAGTGGCATAGGTAAAGAGCTGGAAAGTCGATGTGTTTTTCTGTAACTATTTAAGGTGTATTATGGAGTGAAGGCACAACCAAGTTCATTGGAAGCCATAATTACACCGTGTTTCAGAACAAGACTATGATCAAAAGAAATCCTCCCAGACCTGCACTGGGTATTAGAAAAGAGGAATTGGTTGATGGCACCAAAATCTGAATGGCAGTGAAAACCAGTAACAAATACTGTACAAATAATTTGAGTTTTGTGCTAGATAAAGATATGTAATAAGAGGCAAAAACAAAACAAAACAAATTTTACAAAGACAGTCCTGACAATCTGTGTTCTTTTGCATTTTATATACTTTGACATGTGTAATTTTTTTAAAAGAATAGTTTTAAATGATCAGACCATTTTTTAGTGTTCAACATCTGTAAAGAAGTAGTAGTTAGGATGCTGGATTATTCTTACTGTATTAATTTGGAAATACTGCATAGTAGACTTTGAAGTTAGAGCAAAAAAGGAACTTTGTGCAAAACAGGTGATGTTTTTCTTGGCAGGCATTACTATTTAACTTTTTTCAGTTTTAGATCATGAAAATTTTGGTACAAAGCAAAAAAACCCCAAAACTATTCAGCTTCTATAAAAATTTTAGTGCACACCCAGTAGCATTAGGTTTTGGACAAAATTTCTGCTAAGTAATTAGTAAGATGAAAATCAGCTTATTTTTTCACTCAAATAATATTTGACTCTCAACTAAAGATTAGAGAACTCCCAAAAGCTCCCATCGTCTGCATTTGAAGACTAATAGTAAACTCCCTATTGGATTATGACTGGTGGTTTTTCATCTTCTGAGGAAAGAGGGGATTAATTGAAAATGTCAAGATGGGTTTGTTGGATTTTTGAGGGGGCGGTGGGAATGGTGACAGGGTCTTTTTATTTCCTTCCACAGTTGCAGAGATGAGAGTCTTCTCAGATATGATGAGTGTAAATTTGGAGCAGTTTTCAAATTGATCCTTGAGATTTACATGCAGAAAAGATTTTCTCAGAAGTCATTCAGAAGTCTTTGGAGTTGAATGAGTTTCTAAGGGGAATTTAGCTGGCCATGCTAGGCAGCACTTACTGTCAAGATACAGCTCAGGGAGAAAATGGAATGGAAAACTCCATCTGGACTCCTGAACAGTTTTATCATGTGGTGACTGAATCTGTACTTTGAGCTTGAGGCTGATGATGTTTTGTGATAAGTATTAGGAAAAATATTTATAAATTCACAGTGGAGGCTCAAAGAAGAGATGTGCAGTTTATTTTTTAAAATGTTTTTTATTTATTAGATATTCTGATTAATTACTCTGTAATCTTTTTGACTTGCTGAAAAGCTGACTATCTCAGACTTTTAGTTGCAAGAAGAGGTGCTGAAAGCATGTTTCCCAAAGGTTTACAGTGGGATTAGGTAAAATACAGCCAGTCTTTGCCAGGGCAGAGGAAGACAAGTCAATCCTTGTTTTCAGTGTCGCTGGACACTGTCAGCAGAATGTCTGAGTTAATACAAGGAGCTGCAACTCTGTTCCATAAGCCTGACAGTCTGGCCTTATTGTTTTGACAAAAATTACTGATTTCCATATTCCACCTCTTCTCTATTTGCAGTTTTTCACACTGCTAATCTAATGTGATGGTGTGAAAAAGTGTACTGGTTATTTTTTTAAGAGTTCTTGAAGCTTTGTACCTTTTACCTGCTAGGCTTTTACCTAGAAAACAACTGTAACACTGCAATTTCACATCAATTTTCATCATGTTACCCACAGATTTTATTTATATTTACTATATAATGCACCTATATATGGCGTATCCCTAAATATTTACATATAATTTTAATACATATATTGCATGATTGTACTATACAGATATTTGATTATTTTTATATAAACATATAATGGTTTTTTTCCATAATATGCACATTTTGTCATGTATTTCCTTGTGTTTCTTTTCATCTGTGGAGATGTATACATAATTGCTATGAATAATGACAACTTTTATGCATCTCTACTCTTGAGTTGTTCTGTAGAGAGTACCCAGAAAAATTATCATCTATATGGAGCATTTCCCAAGAGTAATTTACTCTGTAGTATGTAGCCTGCTGGGACTTATTATGCAAATGCTATATTTGTTGGCTCAACCCCATATTTTTCTGAAAGAATGGCTTTTTCATTGCTTTGGGTGGAAAAAAAGAAATTTTGACAAGGTCAGTATTCACTTCTTTCCTCACCTGTTATCCCTGTCCTTCCCTTTCAAAAAAATTAAAGCAGATTACCTCCTGCTGGTTGTATAACTATGTCATAATTGCTTCATGTCAGTAAAAGCACGGAATGCCCACGTGCAGACAGAATAAGACACTTACTGTGGGGATGAAAAAAGCCCTGCAGAGGTAGTTTGAAAACAACTTTGGGGTTCTCATTACAAGGTCTGATGTTTCATTCCTTAGCAGCAGTCAGCTGGAGACAGAAACATGGCAAGCTGAGGCATGGTTAGAGCCACATCCTTTGGCCATGTGCATTGTTTTGCTTTGGAGGAGCTGCGGCACAAATATCTGAAATGCAGAAGGAGATGCTGCTGATGAAATAGGAGGCTGAGGAAAGTTGCTACCTTCCAATATTTTCAAATTACAAAATATGTGGAATAAGACTGCTCAAGAATATGTTGTAGGCAACAAGTGAGTCTTAAAATTAGCCTGAACCATGAGAATTTTCCCTTCTGAGTTTCATAATAATTTCTTATTATCAGTTTTTAATTTCAAGCTGAGGAGCTTGACAGCAGCTGCTTCAAGGAAATGCAGTTACTGTGATCTTGGAATTTTTTGTGGCTTCATTATGCTCTGAATTCATTCTTGACTGCTTTATTGTCATAAGGATTTTGTATCTTATGTATCTCATCACTCTTTTCCCAGCGTATCCACACACAGGGCTAATAGATTCTGTTTGTAAATTCATAACTCCGTAGCAGGGGCACAGTTCCTGTTTGTAAAAGTGCCTTGTGCTGCTGGAGAGATGTGTAAATGCCCAGAGGTTTTTTACCTCTCTGCATGTTTGTGAGTGTGACCAGCCCCCGGGAGTGGTGCCGGGGCAGCCGTAGGGTTTGACACGCAGGTGTGAGGTCTGTCACAGTGCCTCAGCTCTGCAAAGCCCCTGCCAGCTGGGACTGCAGGAGCAGGGCTGGCACACAGACTCGGGCCACGGCCAGTGCCAAAGGAGGTGAATCCTGCTGGGTGCAGCTCCCTGCTCAGGTGTGGCTGGGTCCTGCAGTGCCCACCAGACGGGACACATGGGTCCCTGGCTGCCACTCTGCTCACCCAGGGCATCCTTCCCAAGGAACAAATCCCTGCCTCAGGGGTGTTTGCCTCTGGCTCAGGAACCAGTTACTGCTTTGTCTCCCCCGTGGCTTTTTTTGAAGCCACAAAAAAATTCCAAGATCACAGTAACTGCATTTCCTTGAAGCAGCTGCTGTCAAGCTCCTCAGCTTGAAATTAAAAACTGATAATAAGAAATTATTATGAAACTCAGAAGGGAAAATTCTCATGGTTCAGGCTAATTTTAAGACTCACTTGTTGCCTACAACATATTCTTGAGCAGTCTTATTCCACATATTTTGTAATTTGAAAATATTGGAAGGTAGCAACTTTCCTCAGCCTCCTATTTCATCAGCAGCATCTCCTTCTGCATTTCAGCTATTTGTGCCGCAGCTCCTCCAAAGCAAAACAATGCACGTGGCCAAAGGATGTGGCTCTAACCATGCCTCAGCTTGCCATGTTTCTGTCTCCAGCTGACTGCTGCTAAGGAATGAAACATCAGACCTTGTAATGAGAACTCCAAAGTTGTTTTCAAACTCAGGGCCACCTCTGCAGGGTTTTTTTCATCCCCACAGCAAGTGTCTTATTCTGAACTCTCCCTTTGTAAAAACGGAAGTGTAGGGATGTGCCCCCTGTTGATGGAGTCACCAAACTATCCTTTGTCTCCTTAAAAAGGAGAAAGCCCAGAAGTTTCTCTTGTCAATTAGGTAAAAAAGACACCTCCTAGGACCTTGTGACTTCACCTCAAACTTAAGGATAGCCAGTTGGACAGAAGCCAAAAAGTCCCTCCTGAGCAATTCACTAGAAAAAGAAGAGAACAAAGAAATTAACTGCTTTTGTGAGGTGTTTTACCAGGAGCAAGAGCCTCTTACCCCGGCTCAGGTTTTCTCTGTGAAGAGCTTTGGTTTTTTTGCCTTTTATTAAAACTTTCTGTTTCCAACACTACCACAGAAGCCATCCTGTTGATTTTATGCTATCTGAGGTGGCTGAGCTATCTTGGGTGTGAAATAGGTCTCCAAGAGCTCATAAGACCTGGCTTGAGGAGACCCCTGTATCAGGGAAGGGAGAGAGGGAGGGTGAAAGCTTAGTGCACAGTCAGGTTTATTTCTTACTGCATTTGGTCATGGGTGGCACTAAGTGAAGTGAGAGGAAGAATTGTTGTTTGGAAATACTGATAACCTTCAAGCTATCAGTGTTGTTTAGAATCCACTCACCTTTTTCTGGGTGTTTTTTTTTTCCCCCCCTCTGATTGTATGAGGCGTTCTGAGGCTTTAATAAGACTGCTTTCAAAGATTTGTGTCTGTCATTTTCTTCATGTGGCAAACAAATGTTCTCATTGTATTAGCTAGCTTTTCATAAATGAATATTGCTTAGTTTGACCACGTGGGTGTTTCTTGCTTTCCAAGAACACACATATTTTACTTTTAAAATACCTTTTTTTTCCCTTTTAAGTGTTAAAAAATGACAGTATAGCTAGAGATCTGAAAAGGAACTAACCTTTTCCTTCTGTGGTTTCTTGTACTTACTTCAGGCAGGTGCATGGAGGACATTCAGAAAAGGAAGAACAAGTTAAAAACTGGCAATAATGGACAGGCCATGTAATATTTCCCTTTCTACTCAATTATTTAAAAGTATGCTAAAAATTCCATGTATGACAGAAGAAGATGTACTCACTTTTATGCTGCTGGAAAGAAAAAGTTTTGTGTGGAACCGGAGTGGGAGTAAAGAAAAACAAGAGCCCATTGTGTTTTGGAGGCAAATCAGACAAGCTCTCTTTAGCCATGTTATTTTTCAGACCTTGTGTGCTGGAGGATTGGAGAATGGTTTTCTGGGGCATCTGCTGCAGAGATGACTTCTACACGCACCTCAGAGTTACAAAGACAAATATGGGAATATGATTTTTTTGTTGTTGCACTGAGATTGTGAGCCTAATTCCCCTCTGCTATGCAACTTTCATTTGATTTTACCTGGAGAACAGGGTCAGTAACACCAGTTCTGGGAACATTTTGTGATGATACATTAATGTAAAGCTGTTGTAATCTAATTCTGCTTGATAATATCCTAGTGATACAGCAGAGATGAGATGTGAAGAATAATAAGGACCAGAAACTTAATGAAATTTTGAAAATATTCATAAGAAGATCTGTTCAGAAAACTGAGAGCCAGTAGTGAGTTGTAAGTCACTTTTAGTCAGTGTCAATTGATGTAGATTCTCAAAGACAGACGAGATTAAAGGAGTCCTTAATTTTTGCCCTGGTATATAAGAAATTAGGCAAATTGGCAACATCTCTAACTTCCTAAGAATATCACCAAAGCAAGTAGAGATGTGGCATCAACAGTGTTGTCAAAGTAGCTAAGTTTTGCACGGTGTTACTTTGAGTCTTTGGTATATTATGCCAAAAACCAAGACATGTAGCAGTAAGAGTTTCTTTTTCCTTAGCCCCTGGAAACACAACTTTGCTGTGGTGTGCTTTAAGAGATACCACCATAGTGTTTCTACTGTAAATTGTCTTTTAACATTCTGATTAGAGACAAAACAATGACGTTCCCTAGCTAATATTTGTACCTATTTCTCGTGTTATAAAAATGCCAAACCGGAGTGAGATCTGAGGGAACACGAAAGCTGGACTTTTCTGTGAGCAGTAAAGCAAACTGTAGAATACTGAAGTTAGAAGTGCTGTGAACACAAGGCTACCAAGAAGAAAAGAATCCTCATTTGAAGCCAGTGGCAGCAAAACTCCCCCTGTGTTAGAGTGATACCCTGTTCCTGTGCCAGTTTCATTGACTTCTGTACATTAACATGAATTAAAATGAATTAACACTGCCTCAGGTCTTCAGTTTCCTTTACAGATGGAAATAGGAGAGCCCTTTTGATGGATCTCCTGTATTCAGTTAGGCTGAAGCCAAAGTGGATCAACAAGAGACATGGAAGAGAGAAGCAAACAGGAGGAAAATGTGGATGCTCTGGAGATGATGAGCATTCAGTTGAAAATAAAAGCCAAACTTGGACTTCATTATGCAGCTGATATTTGTTAATATAGAATAAGTGAAGCTGTAGAGCATGAACAAATTGCCTTTAGGAGAAAGTGAATGTTAAGAAAGGACTAAAATGTGAGTCATGTAGCCATGTGTCAAAGGTAAAATGTCTCCTGCATTGCTGGTCCTTCTGCCACTCACTGTAGGTCTAGTGCTGCTCTCAGAGAATTGACATTGCTATCATGCCATTACCCTCATCTGCTCTCCTGTCTTACTTCCCACTGTTTCTGTTTTGGTAGAGGCAGGGGCTTGCAGGGAATGCTCCCTGCTGTGTGGAGCCCTGTGCAAACATCCGTCAGGGTTCTCACCCTGAACGATTTGCACTGCCACAAGCAGTCATGGTATGCAAATGAAACAAGCAAGGGGATGGGCAGGAGGACACGAAAGAATGTAGACAAAATTAGAGACTACTTTATTACTGGTCTGATTATGTGCACAATTCCTTTCAGCAGTTCCTTTAGCCCACAGAACACTATCTTATCTGTCACCTCTGTGTCACATCTGTGACAGACTCAGGCCAGTTGAGGATTGTCATGTTGCTGACCAAATTTCATTAGATGTGAAAGTGAATTTTAATCAAATATTGTTTTCCATGTGGATTGTACTTTTGATAGGCAGTGGTATGGTGGTCTTTGTAGCATCTCTCCAGTCTGTTTTCCTGTTACACCACTTTTATTACCTAACAGTACTGGATCAAATAAAAGATGTCCTGTCTTGAGCAGCAGCCATAAACTACAACAGCAGGGCAAGCATGCATGATAATGTTTTCCATTCCCTTCTGAAACTTCAAGCATTTTCACACCGTGGATTTACTGAGATAGATGAGGTCTCAGTGTTTAATGTCACCTGTGGTTTTCCATGCCCATTTCCCTCCATTTCCCCTTCCATCACCATGATCTGCTCCTTGCCATGCTGATGAACACTTCCAAAGCTAAGCATTCCTTCTGCCAGGTCTTTTGCTTGGAATCAGTGATCTAGTTCTCATTAACTTGTGAAAATAGGTAAGGTAGAAACAATTTTATCTGGGCTTTTCTGGTCACTGTTCCATCCCTGTGTCATGTGCATGTGACCTGTACCTATCCACATTTTGCTAGTTTAAATTAATTTCTTAACATTATGTCTTTCTTTATATAACCAGTGGTAGCATTGATAGCTAAGGATGGCATGCAAAATAGGGTGACTCACTCGTCAGTGTGACTTTTTTGATGATGCTTTATTTTACATTAAAATGATATTCTTGTTTCAGTGGCTCTTGAATATACACTAGGTACTCTGAATTTCTCTGTCAGAATCATGTGTCTCAAACGTCTTCAAAGCTTAGGAGTGAAGAGTAAATGAAGTTAAGATGCAGACTCTCCTAGGTGTTGTTAGACTGTTATTTAAAATTACTTTTTTATGGCTTTGGTTTTTAGTGTTTTTTATTTCTCAGAGTTTCATTTCTTCACATATCATTTTCATATAGCCTGCACTGTAATACAAATGTTGAAAATATAGTTACTAAAAAGATTAGCCAGAAAACTAATAAAACTGGGGGGGGTGTTTATTTGTTTTTTGGGGGTTTTTTTGGTTTTGTTTTTGGTTTGGTTTTGGGTTTTTTTTTTTTTTTGGTTGTTGTTTGGTGTGGGTTTTTTGTTTTGTTTTGATGTTTTTTTGGTGGGTTGTTGTTTTTGTTGGGTTTTTTTTGGTGAGATTTCACTACAGAGGGGAAGATAAAGCTCCATGCACCTAAAAGGTTTCCTCTAGGGAAGATGAATGTCTGTGCAAGAGGCACAACCTGCTTGAGATTTTGCTGTGTGGCACCCTTATACATATTTCATCTAAATGTGCGTTAAGTTTTACAAATAACAGCAAAACAAGTAGGGTGATTGAGAAGTCAGGCAGGTATGCAGGAGAATGCTGGTGATGTCATTCCATTTGCCTTAGGGTGATATTAGTAATGGCTGCCCTTCATCATGGAAACAACTGGAAGCCTGGAAGGACTGAATGTGGGATTCTGGGGGTCACAGGTGCAGTGCAGGCTTTGCATTCAGAGATGTTCCTCACTGCTCCTGTTGCAATGCCAGCTTTGCTCTCCTCCTGCACACTGGGGATCTGTTTTCATTAAGTATGGGGACCTGTGAAGGAAGACACTGCTAGCTCTTCATGAAAGGGAGAGTAGTGGTAAGGGGGGAAGAGGAGGAGGAGCCTCCAGAGTCAAAGATCGCGTCTTCATAGAAGTATGATCAATGCTCCTTTATTGTTAGGTTCAGGGTACATTTATATGGTTCCAGGGTTCAAGTGACACGGGGAAGTATCTGATTGGTTAACAAAGCACTGTGCATAAAACAAAGACTATTTCTTAAACATATCTTGGGCACGTAGCTCAGCTTGTCAGCAATATCAGCAGAACATCTTCTCATCCTCTGTTAGAATCTTCAGACCATGTTCTTTCACATCCTCTTCCCTGGGATGCAGTTGGCAAACTTTCTCCTGCTGGCTGTCCAAGGGCAGCATGCTTCTGCTATCAGGCATGTACCCAGAGTGTTTGCAAGCATGCTTCTAAATCCACAGAATGTCCATTGTTTTTTGTCTGCAGGGTTGTGCACATAGGCCACAGTGTCTGACCAAAATGCTCTCTAACAGCTCTTTGTCTGGAAACTTGTTAGCCTGAGAGGAAATCACAGTTCTTTGAAAAACCCCCAAATATTATTGTGGCTCTCCAGTGACTGTCATCTTATATCCCAGGTGAGATAAGTGAGATGTTGGAAAACATTAGAAAACCTTCATACCCATATACTGGAACACCTTCAGATGAGCCTTCCAACAAACCCTATGGCTCTTCTCCCAGAAGGGTCTGGGTAACCTGTGGTAGCAGCACTGCAGAAAGTAACTTGTTATAGAAGATTGAAATATTTAATAATTGTTTGAATAATTAGCTTTGATCTAGGCCTGCCTTGACCTAGTAAAATATTTAATGATTTTCATTCTGAGAGCTGAGCGCATTTGTGACTTTACCTGTGTGAGTAGCTTATAAAATGAGGCTGCTGTTGAAGAGCTTTTTGGACAGGCCTAGATGACAATGAATAAATAGCATTTATTAATTTATTGCGTAACTGCTACTCTCTGGTCTCACTGGTTACCCTTGTGCCATATGTGGTTTGCTTTGTGCCTTCCCCCCCATTATAAGGAGGTTAAGAACAAATTTTCTCAACAGTGCTAATTGCAGCAGTGTGCACAACACTCATTGATGTCTGTCAGTGTCTGCAGGGAGGTGTCAGAGCATGGCCCAGGCTCTGTTTGGTGGTGCTGAGCAACAGGACAAGGGCAGACACTGATGCCCAGGAAGTTCCACCTGACCATGTGGAAGAACTTCTTACTGTGCAGTGATCATGCACTAGAAGAGGCTCCAGAGAGGCTGTTCAGAGGTTCCCTCTCTGGAGATACTCCAGAACCTTGTGCTCACAGTCCTGTGCTCTGGGATGGCTCTGCTTGAGCAGGGAGCTTGGAGCAGATGATCCTCCCGTGGTCTCTTCCAGCCTGCCCCATTCTGTGATTCTATGTATACCATGTGTTACTAAAAACTGGCTTCTTTTAGTAATGTAGAACAATTATTAAAGCAATTCTGTGTTACTGAAGTCTTTCCTTAGTCTGGGAAGTCACAAGAAATAACATAAGATCTGGTATAACCTCAGCATATGCCTTGTTTTTTCTGTCTGTTTCATTATCCTTTCCTGAAAGTCCTTGTCAGTGATTTGGCAGCAATGTTAGAAGTGGAAAAATCAGCTAAGAGTAACTGTCACTAAGAAAAAGCAGCTTGTAACATGAAGTGCCTACTCAAAATACATATTTTTATTACTTTTTTTAATGCATTCCACATTTTTGTTGCTTTTCTGGATTAACATGTTACATGGAATGCAAACATGAGAAACCATGTGGGCATATCCTTAGCAAGTGGTGTGAGCTATGTAAGAAGGACATCCTGGGGACAATGACCTGTGTGAAGTGCTCACGAACTGCAGAAGATGAAGTACTCAAGTGTTGTTATTCACAGCACAGGCTGATAGACCAGATTGTTTCTGCATCGTGTCCTTACTCAGCTCCTACAAAATGTACTTGAATGGGGGCTTAAGAGAGTCTTCAGGATTTATTTATGGAGCCTCTCACAATAAAACTTATTTTTAGCTTACAAAAGAGCACATTGCATTTTCCAACAATATAATTTCTCCGTTGTTGTTAACTGTTTCTAACCAGATTAGATTAAAACAAGGATTACACTAATCTCGAGGACCAAGAAAACTTTAGCCAAAGTGTTGTGAGGAAGAGTGAACTTCTTGTAGCTTGAATATACCCCTTTTCTGCTTGTTGTTCTGAAATTTCTACCCTTTCAGCATAAATATAGAAACTGCATTCGTTCCTAAGGATGGAACCCAGGTAAGCTCAGGTGACCAGTTAGTGATAATTGAGATGCTGGGAGCAGATTGCAGCCACCTGTGTCCCAGTGAGCATCGCTGACTGCAGCAGGGGGGTGACTCCAGCAAACTGAAGGGAAGGGGAGCAGTGCAGGAGCTGCTCTTCACCCAGCAGCACTGTGAGCTCTTAGCATTGAAAGCTTTCCTGCTGAAGTACCCTGTAATCTTCCTGGTCAGAATTCCCTTGCAGTGCCCTGGATATAATGCAGGTTGGGGGGTGCTTTGCTTTGCTGATTACCAGGATGTACCTCTGCATGGAGATACCTTTCATATCAAAACTGGTTAGACCTAAAACATTGTAATAATATTTCATGGTGGTCTGTGGTAAATGGTTCAAATTCAAATTATGATCTAGCAGTGGCATGGCAAGTTGGAATACTTTTAATTTATTCCCTTTCCTAATAAAATATAAACAGTCTTGGATTTAGGTTGGGCTCAGTAGGTACAGGAGTTACCACTGTACAAGCAGGGATATCAAATTTAGTGTGCATATGTAGACTTGCTCATTTAATATTGAATCCTCAATTACCCTTCTGTAAATGCTCTTGAAAATAGAACAGTGATCACATCTCACAGGTCAGGCTATCTGCATTTATTCCCCTATTTCACAAAGTC